AAAAGCCTAACAAGATTTGTGCTTTTTCCAAAAGTCTTCTTCAGCTTCTCACTATTTTTCCTCGTGGGACTGGTAATAACAATCCCTTATATGTTTATATACCTTCTGGTTATAAAGCTTTATTTTTCAATGAGCCATTACAATTTTGCTGTGAGGTAGGTGCTGGTGAGAGCATTCACTTATTTTACTCTATTCATCCGAGCAAAAGTACCTTCCATTGATAAAAGGAGTACAACCTGTGAGGGGCCCAATGTTAGATCTTTTCCAGATGTTTTATCATTCGAACATCCTCAAGGCTGGGGAAGTATGCAGTACTTCTCACATTTACCGATAAGGTATTAAACAACTTGTCAAAGGTCATATAGCTGGTTAGTAAGATCAGAGTTAGTCAGGACTGGAACATCAGCTCTCTCAGGCTACCATTTCTTGTCTTCTTGACTAACCCAGTTTTTCATGAAAAATGATTTTCTTGATAGTGACATTTGTGGGCTCCATTTTGGCCATCCACTCATCCATGATTTATTAACCAAGTTTCAGCTAACATTTCTCATGTTTGCATTATGTGAGATAGTTTTTCTATTTAAAGATGTTATTACCCCAAATCTCTATGTAAGGTATTATCACTCTTATTTGATAGAAGAAGGAACTGCTAAGTCATAAAGGAGTGTTGAGTTTGAATCTAGGGCTTCTGACTTCAGAGCTGTGCTCTTTCCATCACATGGGACGATAAGAAAATTGGAACCAGAAGTGGTGCAGTGACTAGATCTTAGGGAACTTAGACTAGTGTCTCCCTGGCCCTCCTTCTACTTTCTCACTCTTTTGTGTTAAATGAGTCACAGCTTGGGAGAAGCTAGAATAGGTATTAGATATTCTTGAAGCTGTACTTCTGGAGCAACAGAAGAGACTGACATGAATAGAGCGTGGGGTCCGCCATATTCAGAGGGGGATGTTTCCAAAATATTCTATGATTGGAAAGGTGGCATGGAGGAGGGATGAAGAGAGATGGTCAAAGAGGTGAAAGAAATGTGAAAAAGTATGAAGACAAGAATAAGAGTGAGGTGTTTTCAAATACGAAGGCTGGTAGTCAACAGCGAGTCAAGATGAATCAGGGAATAAGATCCGGGGTGTTAGAGCGGTCAAGCAAGCGATTTCTTTCACGGTTTCATTGGGGCCTAGAAATAAAAACCTCATGATTATCCAAACACAACACTAACATGAAGGGGTGAGATAATTTATCCTTAAATAACAGGCTGACCTATTCAGAATTGTAATTTTAATGTAAGACTAACCTTTGAAAATAGATCAAGTGATATAAATTATTAAGGAGCAGACATTCATCAGCTAGATGGTGTCTATTAGTAATTTTATGCATGAAGAGTTATCTCCTGAAGTACAGTTGTAGCTGCCTCTGCACAGGGAGAAATGAACAACCCAGTTACCCTTTCATGACATGTTCTGCTGATTTTAATCAGTATTTCTCCTGTCAAATGAAATGCAAAGACTGAAATATGATCTCTCCTGTGGATGTACAATCGCTGGTTTCCTCCCACATCCTTCTAGACAGCTGTGTTGGAGCTTTCTTGGTGCTGAGAAAAAATGGAGACACCCATCTCAAGCAGCATCTTTTATCCGTTAGTTGGTGAAAATACCTAAATCAGTTGGTCAAAGCACAACATATTTACAGAGGCTTTTCTAGAACTAGACTAAGTGTTACATGGAGGAGCAGGAGGCAGAGGAGGTGAGGTCTTGTCCTCAGGGAATTTCATGTGAAGACCAGATAGAATGTCAAGTGACCTGATGTGAGTGCAACCTTCCAGCTGGAGCAAAGTGAGTTTGGACTAATTACCAAAGTTCTTTGTACCTCGGTTGTTTTGTGTGTAAAATGGAGATGACATTGCATCTCAGCTCAAGGAACTGTGAGGAATCACTAGGTTCTGACTGAAAGAACAACTCCCAGCACTGCCTCACATTGGGTTACCTGTAGAAATATAAAAATACTTGTCACTCTCTGCTCTCTGTCTTCAGTTAGGATGGGTTCCTTTTCTCTACATATCACCATGGCACTGGTCTCCGGGGGGCTCACCTACATAGAGCCTGGGAAACCAATGGATGCTGATTTCACTCCCTCGGGCTCTAAGGGGCTCCAAGCCCAGAGTTTTCTCAGGAAACTTGATGATCCCTTCAGGTGACTTTCCCAGGTCCAGATCTTTCAAAGTGTCAGGCTCTTGTGACATTCTGTATCCTGATTCCTACACCCATTTATCTTTTCTCAGTCCAGCTGTCTTTAGAGGATCCCTAGTTACAGCTATTTCTCTCCAAACTCTGCTTTCTTTTGAGCAGGGGGTCATATATTTTTTCCTTAGTGTTTTAGGGGCTAGACATTTGGCCCCTAGGATTCAAGGTGTGCCATAGAAACTCAGAGCATGTCTCTGCTCTCTTGCCCTGCTGCCATCTTGATGTGCAGAACACCTGGGAGTGGAGAATGGTGACAACAGTATTCTCAGAGGGTGTGAAGGATTGTGGGAGGGGTACTCTCTGTTTATATCTCAAAATCCTGTCTTACAAAACTATTGGTCTCCTTTTGTCTTCCTCCCCACCATGATGATGATGAAGCCAGTTTTAACTGAAAATTAAGCATATAAGGAAGAGTTCAGAGTGTCTGCTATGTTTTAGGAGACAGATGTTGTTACTCAGCATCCAAAGTGGTTGGTAACTCATGTATATTGGATCAGGGAAAGCTGTCAAATCAGAGTCAAATCCAGGGGCACCCATAGAAGAAAGAGAAGGAAGGAGCAGCATTTTGGTGATTGGCAGCCTCATGACACAGTGACACCCACAGAGACTGAACTGCCAGAGCGGAGACTCCATCAGAAGAGTCCATGTTGAGCAGAATGACTGGGTTTCTGTACTCATGTTAAGTTCAGAGGTTGGGAGAAAGCATAGCCTGGGTTCAGAGGTCAAGTGGACTTGAAGGTGCTGCCCTTGTAAACTGCCAGCCAGTTGCTCTCCTCCTAGCAGAGTGTCAAGTTTTTTGGAGAAGAGGTGTCCATGTGTGGCACAGTTGTAGTTGTTGTCTCTACCCATGGCCATGTGAGCATCATGAATGGGAGGAGTTCAGAACAGGGCTGGAACCCAGTACTCTGAACTAAGTCTCATATTCTTTCCATGCCACCTTGAAATTCACCAATAAACCAACTGCTAGATGGTATGTAAGTGTAACAAAAAATATAGTGAATATTTCAATTAAACTTTTATTATAGTAAAAGATACATTGCCATTAATTCTCCTTAAAATCCCTCCTCCTCATTTGTACACACCTAATCTAATCATTCTTTCTGAAGCTGTTATGGAAGTTGTCTTTCATGAGTGTCATTAGTTGTGCTTTTGTAGGATCCTTGATTTCCTTCATCGATTCAAAATATTTGCCTTTTGGAGTCATTTTGACTTTGAGGAGGAGCCAGCCAGAAGTCTCATGGTATGAGATCTAGTGAATGAGGTAGGTGAAGATAAATCATAATGCTTTTATTTGACGGAAATTGATGTTTTTTGAATTGATTCAGGACATCATGACTGTCATTTACCCATGACAGCATGACTGAAAGTACTCATGAAAGACGACTTTCCAGAACTGTTTCAGAAAGAGACAAGAATAATGGGATGAGTATGTTGAAAATAAAGAGAAGTCTTTTTGAAGTGCATTCATGACAGTGTGTCTTTTGCTGTAATATATTTTTTTAATGTAAACACATTTAGTTGAGTTTTGTAGTATAGACACAGGTCACTGCTCCATCAGATATTTGAGAGATACAACCTGATACAGTCTTCTTTGGAAGTTAAGCCACCCTGAAGGCAAAAATAGCAAGATAGAAAGGAGTCACTGTTACCTCAGTTCAAATTATTTAGTTTGCCTGGCTTGTCTGGTAGGGCTTCAAACCATGCCCTGCTGCCTGTCCTGGGAGTGTCCCGCTGATAGGTCAAAGCAAAGCTTTCTGGCCAAGCAGATGCCATTCAGTCCTGAGGTTTCCTGAGGTTCCTGTAAGGCTCCAGCGTGTGCTTTCTCCTAATCATTTGGCCAGTGTCTGTGTGATAGTGTGGGTGTTCTGAGAGATGACACTCAAGACTGATTGCATAATGAAGTGTGGGTTTTTTTCCTGCAAGGCTGGCTCTATAGCAGTTAATGAAGAGAGAAAGTGGCAAGGCTGGGCAGCATGACTGGAGTTCAGTCTGACTTGCCCATCTGTCAGGACCAGACATCCATGTTGCAGAAACAGAGGCCAGGCCGAGTCTTGGTGCTGTCCACATATGCCAGAGAGAATTCCAACATCCTCCCCCCTCTCATCTTGATTTGGCTTCAGATACAGGCAAACAATTCCTGCTCTTGGCCAAATCTTTATAGAGCCAAGATTTACTAGGAAACTTGTTGATAAGGCTTTTTTGGTGAAGGGAATTGTTCTTGATGTATATAGAAGTTTAAACTTTATTGATAATATGGATAAAAATAATGATGGTTAATCATTTTTGGTTTTCTTTTAGTGTTGGGCAAGGAACTGCACCAAGTATATTTTATACCATTTAACCCTTGCAAAAGTCTCCCAAATTAATCAATATTTCTTCATTTTACTGATAAAAAATGAGGTTTGGGGAGCTGAATAAGTTGTTCACATTTGCCTCTATAGTAAATAAGAAATAAGTTGTATGAAATTTCTTTCTGGTTCAGAAGCATATTTTTAATTTTTATGCTATATACTTTCTTTACTATTTAATTGAATTGAGCCAAAGGCATGCAATATTGTCAGGTCATTTTATCACAGACAACTCGAGACTCAAAGTTAGTGGCAGTTTGAACTAGAACTCCCAGTTCCATTTTTCTCTCCATTGAGCTGATAAAGCCAGGTAGTACTTTTTGGCTGAAGTATGCCTTCCATGCTTCTTGGGAATCCCAGGAGATCTTTTAGTTCTCCTAGTCTGACATCGTCTCCTTGCTTTTGCTCCATTTCAAGATTGCTGCTGCTTGTTCCTTTATTGAGGAGTTCCAGAGCCACTGGCAGATTGCTAGGAAACTGAACAAAGAGAGAAGATTGCCCAGATGAGGTATGCATGTCAAACTGTCCTCGCCAGTATTTATTTTATTTTTTTAATTTACAAAGCATTCAGAATGTAGCAGCTGTGCCTCACCATGCCACCAGCCCAAGAATTTGTATGGCAGGCAAAAGAATGCTAAGATTATGAAGCAGATTTCTGTGATGACCATAATGTGTTGATCAAAACTTCCTGTGAGCACTGCAGAAATACGTGGTCAGGCTCTCCTTAGACCCTTGCTTCTGTCCACTTTTACAGCCATCTTGTCTTTGCTTCTCTGCATTGTTATTTTTTATCTGTGATTTTGGGAAAACTGAAGTATCAGTAGTTGAAGGATGAGTTGGGGAAAAGACATTTTTATTGCTTAAATGATTCTTTTCAGGGAGAGAATTGAAGCCCAAAAGGATCATTGTAAACTTATGGGAACAGGAGGAAATTTGCACTCTTTACAGTATTTTAAGGTTTCAGAACTGTTTTGAGCAAAAAGACGTATTTTGGGTTTGTGGAGAGTGCTGTTTCAGAAGAGTCGAGCTACCTGGGGGAATGTTTGGGAGTGTTGGTCCTAGAGCCTCATTACCTGGATTCAGGTGCTGGCCCTATTGGCCAGACAGGTAACTTTATCTTTCTGTCCCTCAGTTCTTTAACTAAAAAGATGGAGTGTGTGTGTGGATAAAATACTTGTGCATTTGTGACATCTTATGGTGTTTTTGTGAGGACTAATTGAGGCACTTTTAATTGCTTATATTGATTCAGATGACCAGACAACAAACCCAAACCCAAACCAACATCAGAAAGGGGGATTTATTGCTCAGAAAAATCCCAAAGCCCAGACATATGGTTGGATTCAGGACTTAAATAATGTTACTAGAATGTTCTGTTTCTAAAAAGGCATCTGCAGTAGCTTTAACACCTCTTTCTGTTCAGGAGAAAAGTCATATCATGGGATTCGACTGGCCATTGAATCTGCCTTTGAATCAGTACAGAGGCCAGTATTGGGCCCTGTGATGCTCCAGCTGGCTTGGAACAGGCCCATGATTCACTCTAGGGGCTGGGATATATTCAGCTTTTGGAGAAGTATGTGGCCTGAAAATGTGTGCATATGATCACCTAAAGGAGAACTGGGGTTAGCGACCAGAGGAGGTAATCATAACAGATGTTCACCCTAAGTGCTCAGACCACTGCTGTAGCATAGCTATAAATGTCCAGTGAATCATAGCTGATGCTGTTGTCATTTTCATCATCATCATCATCATCATCATCATCATCAGCAGCAGCAGCAGCAGCAGCAGCAGCAGCAGCAGCAGCATCAGTGGCCCATGAGCAGGGAACCTCAAAGCAAATATCTCTGTGATACATAATAGTGATTGAATTCTATACCAGGAACTGAGAAAGCAGAATTCATAACTCACCTCAGTCAGCTATGTATCAGTGGTCCTGCCTTTTCCTTTGTTGTGTTCCTACTCCCATGTTACCTTCCTTTTCTTCCTTCTTATTGAAATAGAACCTGTCCTTCCACTCCACCTCCTCCTTGAGTCTAGGGAGGTAACATTTGTTTTACCCATTTTGTTTTTAAAATTTTATTTTAAAGAGGATAAAACAATAAAACCAATCATAACAAACCAGTATAAGATATACAGGACTTCAAAACATTATGAAATCAACAATAGTTTCTATAATGTCCCTTGATGTCTTCAAAATAGCTGCAGATAACTTCAGACATAGTAAAAATTAAATAGAACAGAATAGAATAGAAACAGTAAAATCAAAACAATGAATGCAATAAAGGACTTCAAAACAAGGCAATAGCAAATCCAAAATTGCTACCGTAATATATCTTGCTATCTTTGAAATAGCTTCTCTTGCCATTGGATTTAGCATAATCAAACAAAACAAAAGAGAATAAAACCCAACAAAACAATGGAAATGATGTAGGACTTCGAAACAAGCCCATAGGGAATCAACAATGGCTATAACCTTCAGAAGGAGATCCCCTCTAGATGTCACACTGTATACTGCTATCCTCTGAACCTGTGATCAGACCACTGGCCCTAGACGTACAATATTAGTGAAACACCAAAGCTCCACAGACATCCAATTGTATTTCACCTCAATAGCTATCATCACAGATTGTGTTTCTCCAAATAAGCCAGTCATTTATGGGGCAACAGTTGGGGGCAGGAGGGGGATTGGTACTTCTTGCTTACCAGCCCATGTGCTGGAAGGGGCTGGAGTCTGTCTGTTCCCAGTCTGACAGTGGCCTACACATGGCGCTCTTTCTCAGACTAGGCTTGCTTGTTGGTGTGGCCTTGTTCTTTCTTTCTTTTTTTTTTATTTAAAGAGAGAAGAAGAAGAAAAAAGAAAGGACATAAAAAAACAATGCAGTAAAAGGGTACAAATAATACAGTATTTCTAGAAAAAAATATATAGTTCTACGCCCCAGTCTGATTCACAGTAAGAATGTGAGAATTCTTAATGGCTTCAATGCACATATGTCATTTTTCAGCAAAATGTAATGTGTATGTCATTTCCAGGGAAATGGAAAGTAAGGACCATTCCATCCTTACTCATGGGGAGGGGCTGGGGTCTGTTGTTTCCCAGTCTGGTGGTGGCCTGCACATGGTTGTGGTTCCCAGACTGGGCTTGCTTTCTGATGTGGCTTTGGGAGCCCATTTTCTGTACTTCTTATTTTCTCTCTCATCTCAAAAGCGCTATTGTATTCAGTGTCTATACTACAGAGCTTTTTGAGTGTGAACTCTCCTAAAAATTATAAATTGCTATTAAACACATCTTCTGCTGAATATGTGACTCCACTATATTTACTTTGTACACTATTATATCATAGTGATTTAGATCAGGGCCTCGGAGGTCAGAGCTGCTTTTGTCACTGACTTGATGTTGGAACCTGGTGTAGATTATGGAAACCTTTCAGCCTCAGTTTCCCTATCTGTAAAAGGAGGATAATAATCCAGTCAGTGAGACAGATAACACATATAGCATGTACACTGAATACTTTCTCTCTCTCTCTCTCTCTCTGTCTCTGTCTCGTTCTCTTTCTCTCATACACACACCATTATGTTCTTGTAAGCAACTTGAAAGCAGGAAATAAACACCTACCCACCATTCCTATTCCCAACTTTGTTCTTTTAAACAAGTTTTTTTTTTTAAAAAAAGAATTACTATTGAGCAGAAAGATTCCCTGGCTATACATAAATATACCATCATTAAAACTTTACAGCTAAATTAAATATTTGAGTTTCAAATGCAAAAGTTTTGTACCTTTTAAAGTCTTAACTTTGCTTCTTGATCAAGAATCTGTGAAACACTGCCTCAGGCAATTTCTGCCACATCACCTCTGTGTTTTTGGGCTGGCACCCACCCTCCTTTCTGCCTTTGTGAGTGACCTGCCAGACCCTGTCCCTTGGCAGCAGGTGACAGGAGAGGTAGTGACGAATGCTTGCATGATTTGTCCAGCCTGTGCTGTGGAGTGAAGCAAGAAGTGATACATTACAAGAGCTGCAAATGTTCTTTCCCTGGAAATGACATACACATTACATTTTGCTGAAAAATGACATATGTGCATTGAAGCCATTAAGAATTCTCACAAAAGCAGGGAAGCAAAGAGGCCCACTAATGTCCTCTTAATAAAGCCTGGTTTCCCCTGACTAGACCCAAAATAAATGCACTTGGATGGACATTTCCTGCAGGTTTCAGGAAGCAGCTGGATCTGTGTTCAAGGAATCAAGCATCTTCTCTCCTTTGAGGGGGAAGGGCACGGTGTGAAGGAGAAGGTGCTAGAGTGGCAGACAGCAGGACACAAGATCAAGTCCAGGCCCAGGCTTGAGGAGTTGTAGACCCTGGGTAAGATACTTAACAGTCTATCATAGTCAACCATTTTTAGTTGTGAGGGCTACAAACATACTGAAAGTGCTTTCAAGAGTGTCATAACCTATTAAATTTCTTTTTGAAGCAAAATTCATAGAACATAAAATTAATTTTACTCAGCATAAAATTCAGTACCTTCCAGGACTTTCATTACTGTGCACAATCACTACCTCGTTTGGGGACTTTTACACTGCCCCCAGATAAAACCCCACATGCACTAAGCAATCAGTTCCTATTTTGGTCTCTCCCTATCCCTTGGGAACCAGTAACTTGCTTTCGACCCCTTTGTATTTGCCTATTTTGGCCATTTCATGTTAAGGGGATCTCAAAATGTGCATTTGATATCTGGCTTCTTTCTCTTAGCAAGATGTTTTCAGGATTCATCCATGTAGCAGATATCAGTGCCTTGTTCCTTTTCACAGCTCCAGAGCATTCCACTGCATGGATGTGTCACATTTTCTCTGTGTGGTCATCTCATGAAACTTTCATAATGCTTCCATGTTTGGCCATTACATTTTCTTCTTCATAATGGGGAAAGTCACCATCTAGGTGGCTCTGTAGAAATCTCTCAGTCTTTGTGGTTCTCAGAATAAAACAGGTGTGGTCTGAGTTCCAAGATGCAAGGAATGAGACTGGGATAGTATGGCCAAGTGTCAGAGAGAGTGAGGAGGACCCAGCACATGGAATCAGGGCAGCTTCTTTACTAAAAACTCCGGGAAGCAGAGCAAACCCCCATGCGCGCTGTAATGTGTGTGGCCATGACTTCTCCAAAGCTCATTTTGAGCATCATGACCTTGCTCTGTTTTATAAATGAGCACCTGACTGCCTGCTTTTCAGTTTCCTCAGAGATCTGATGTGTGTCCTACTGGACCTAGTAAACATTACAGGGCTTGAGCAGCAGGCTCACTGATGCTCCCCAAAGCTGTAAAGAGCTATAGGATCTTCAGCTACCGGTTGCTTATTTCTGAATCATCAGTAATTCCTTTCTCTAGGTCCCACCCTACTTCTTTTCTACCTTTGTCACAGCTCATGCAATGCTGGCTGGTATGCAAAATCCCAGTTATGAGCAGTGTATCTCTAAGTGCATGGGACCCCCTGAAGTGTTTGGCACCTGTAGTTGCTCATTCAAA